TAACAACTTCTTGAGCCAACTATTGCATGAGATTATATATGTGAAATTTTCAAGCAACATAATATAATCAAGAATTATAAAATATTTAATGAACACTCACCGTGTCCTCATGCTGGTCCCTGCCCTTGGCAAGGAGAGAAGAGTAACACATACGTGAAGGCTTCAGCCAGACCCAGTGGCTGGGGGTTCCGGGTCTGGAGGGACACATGTTCGGGATCCCCGCATGAACTGGATCAGCTACTGGGATAATTATATTCAGCAGTGACATTTGCAGGGACATAGGTTGATCTTAGTTTCCTCATCTGTGAAACAGGGGCACCTATCTCTGTGCTGTAAGCTTTAAATAAGTAATATATCTAAAAACCCTTCGCACAGTGCCTGGCACAGAGGTAGTGCTGAATAAACATGACCTATTATTATTGCTAGATATCAAACTTTTGTTAAGCTTCTGTTACAAGTTGGTAGCGAAGAACTTCGGGCATTGGACTATCTTAGCTCTCTTCTCGAAAGTTGATTTCCCCTCCATACTGTTGTGTCATTTTCATTAGCAAGTAAACGTGCTCAAGTTTCTCATCTCTTTAGCCTCATCTCCTTGATCTCGCAGCAGCCTGTGGCTCCCACTTCACTCTCAGGAGTTGTTTGTGGACCATCTCCACCGCCTCGTCTCACATCCAGTCCTCGGCCCACTGCAGTCCGACTTTTCCCCCCAGCACTCAGCTGAGAAGGATCCTAAGGTCGCTGCATTACCCACGCTGCGCCAGCTGCTGCAACACATACCCCCAACTTTCAGCAGCTTAACACAGTCCCTCTTGTCTCACGCAGGCCGCGGTCCCGGTGCGGGGTGGCATGAGCAAGAGGGGAGAGGAGCCTCTGCCCCACACAGTCATCCAGAGGCCCAGCCCCTCCATCGTGTGCCTTTATGTCCCCTGAGCCCTCAGAGTCTCTGTGTCTAGCTGCCAGAGAGAGCAGCAGAGAGCTCAGAAGAGGGTGCGGGAGGCTTTGGGGTCCAGGCACGGGAGGGCTCACACTCTTTTGTTCAGTCCCATGTCCTACCCATCTGCAGGGGAGGCTGGGAAATATGCCTGGGCTCTGCCCGAGAGGAAAAGGAAATGATTTTGTGAACACACAGCGTTATTTCTGCCACAGTCCCCGATGACTTCTATCTTGCCACACCGATGGATACCTTTTTGTCCTCATCCTGCTCTGTCTCTTGGCAGCTTTCCAAATAACTGATCATTTCTTGCCTCTTGAAATGCTCCCCCCTGTGAGCCGTTCTCCTGGCTCTCTTCCTTATTCTGGTCGCTTCTTTCCTTTCTCCTCCTCCATCCGTCTTCTGGGAAGGGTGCTCATGATGAGCAGTGCTCCCTCCCCAGCCTCCCGTCCGCTCGCCATCCCAAGGCTACGCATAACTGTATCCTGAAAGCTCTCTGGCGTGTTTCTCCATTTTTTACCTCACCACTGAGTACTAGCCTCACACCCACTGCCCACGTAATGTCCACGTTCAGGTATTTCACTGCTTCTCAAAGTTAACATTTACCAAACTGAGCTCACAATTCTTTCCACCTCCCAGTTCCCAATAGACGGTTCTTCCCAATGGCCCCTTCTCATGCTCATCCATCCAGCTGCTCCAGCCGGCTCTTAGGAGTTAACCTTGGTTTCGCCTCCTCCTCCTCCTCCTCCCCTAACTTCCATTTCAAATCCATCAGCAAGGCCATGGACTCCATGTTAAACATATATCTGGAATTCACGCACTTCTATGCTATAATATTATCTCAGACTAAACCACTATTACCTCTGGCCTGGATTATGCAGTGACCTCCAAACTGGTTTCCTCATTTCCATTCCCTCCCCCACACTCATTCACCAAACAGCAGCCAGGTAATCTTGGCAAAACGTAGATGGCATCGTGTCCCTGCCCTGCTTAAGCTCCGTCTGGGGTTCTCAGTTGCACCCAGGAGAAAATCCACAGCTTTCACCATGGACTTTGAGGCGTTGTGTGATCTTGCCTCTGCCAGCCTCCCTCACTCATCTTACGCTGCCTTTCCCTTGGGGGTGGAGGCAGGAGTTTGACTAACATATTTAAGATGATGTCTCGGAAGAGCTTACAGTCTAATTGGGGCACAAGCCTAATTTGGAGAAAGCATGTCTACAAATAGCGATGCCCGATAGTAGCTGTTTAGACAAACCCAAGTGATACAGGTAGGAAGAGGAGGAGGAGCCGAGGGATCCTACAGGACAGCTAGAGTGGAAGGAACAAGACCCTATTGTGTACCACTGCAACTCGGCATGTGGCACGGTGGCTGACATACAGCAGGGGTGTAAATACTTATGGAATGCGTGCATGACATAATACACGAGGGAATGAATGACACCATTCCTGCCCCGCTAGACCTCACAGCCCTGTGGGGGAAACTAACAAGTGACCAAATGCTTGTGTGTGTGACGCATGATGGCAGGGGCATGTACACTCAGTGTACAGTAAAGGGTACATGGGCAGGGGTTGTCAGTTCTGCTTGGGCAGGGGTCAGGAAAGATTTCAGACGAGGTGATGCTTAGCGGGGACTGGAAGGATAATTACAGATGAGTCCAGAGAGCTAAGCGGGAACTAAGCACCCAGGCTGGAGACAGGTGCAGGGGATGAAGAGTGGGGCTCATTATTGCTGGGAGCCACTAGAGCGCCAGACATGACAACGTGGGGTCGAGTGTCAAGCTCTGTGTCACAGAGCACAGGACTTTGTGAGAGGAGAAGGGGAGGGGACTGGTTGGCACTTAGCAGATTGTCAGGGGACATTGGTAGCAGGAATGCCAGCTGGATTACTCAAGGCAATTTAGGGAAGGTTTGAGTCTTGACTGGGCCTTGAAATGTAAAACCAAGGATGGAAAGCAACATGCTAATAAAGGTCATAATTAATATTGATGAGAAGACAGTCACCAATGACGCGGATCGCTGAGGAGGAGCAGGAGCCAGGCAGATGAGGAGGTGTGTCAGACACTCCAGCAGCCCACTCTGTCCTGGCCCTGCCACAGTGGGAGGGAGTCAGGGACCAAGGACAGGGAGGAGGAGGAGGAGGAGGACCTCGGGCTCATGTGGTTGCTGGGCGGAGACTGCTTGTGCTCCACTGCCCTAGCTGCGGATTCCGGATTCTGCCACCTGGTGGAGGGCTGGTCTTGGGAGGAAGCCTTTCCTCCCTGCAAGGCCAACAGTGCTCCCAGGAATGCTGATCCCCTCCCCGGAGAGCTTGCTTTGTCTGTGGTCTGTGAATGTGAACGCTTGAGTCTCAAACATCTGCCCCTCCTTGCTGCTTTTCTGTCTAGATCCTGAAAGGACGAAAACACTGGGGCTTTGGGACGGTGCTCTGCAGGGCTGGGAAATTCAACCCGAGTGAGTGTCTGTCTGGAAAATGTTTGCCCAGGTGGGACTGGTGACTGGGAATGCTGTGGGCAGCCCTGATGGAGGACAGGAAGCCAGGGCAGGGCAGTCTGGGGGATGTGGGAGGGACAGGGCATCCCCCCTTCTCTGCTTAGGGAAAGGACAGGGTAGGGGAATGATCTCTGATCTCTCTGTTTTTGTAGTGAGATCCCTGCCTCCTCACTGCCTAGTGTCTCATCTTAGTGGCCATAAGCATGTTGGGGGAGGTCACAAGCTTCAGTAGTTAGTAGTAATAGCTAACCTGCTACAGAGCAGCTATTGTCCTAAAGCCTTTACATTTAGTTGACTCATTTCATCCTCTCTGTAACTCTGAAGTAGGTACTTTTCTCAGTCCCATTCCCGCACACATGGAGACTGAGGCTCAGAGAGGTGAAGCAGTTTGCTCAAGGTCACACAGGAAGTCACAGAGCCAGGATTGGAAGGAGGCAGTGTGCCTCCTGAAATCACCCATTCTAGGGGTGGCACTGAGGCAGGGAGGGGAGGGCTCCCAAGACCCAGGAAACCAGTGAAGAATGTGGCCAAGAGCTAGCTGTCAATGCTGTGTTCCCTGCCAGGTTCTAGGAGCACCTGACCTGGGTGTGAGGAGGGTTCCAAGCTCTGTCGTGTGGATGTAGGACACTGGGCAAGCGCCTTACACTTTCAGAGCCTTTGTTTTCTTGTCGGTGTGATGGGAGAATAATCACCATCCCACAGGGCATTGTGAGAAATTAATAAAGGAGCATGTGCAAAGTGCCCGATGCCTGGGAGGGGCTGTGAGTACCTTCTCCCCCTTCTCTGCTGGGTAAAGGTGGCGTCCGCCTAGCCTCGGTCTTTCTTTTCACAAATATGTTCGGAGGGCCTAGCAGGTGTCAGCTGTCAGACCTTCTACTATGCCCTGGGAAGTACCCTGATGAAGGAAGAGCCTGGAGCAACATGGGGTGGGGACGTGACCCAGAGTGACCAGAGGGACAAAAATAGATCTCTAACTAATCCACAAGAAGGCACAATGCCTGACGAGTGTTCTCTTCAGAGCGGCGGCGGCAGCGGCAGGAGAGGCAGCGCTGTTTCAGAGATGCGGGTGCTCCGCCAAACACTGGCATCCGCCCCTGGGTTCTCCTCCCAGGCCAGGCCTCGTGTGTGTCACAGGGTGCTGGAGCAGAAGCCAGCCTTTTAGGAAAACCGAGTCTCAGAGAAGGGAACGACTTGCCAGAGTCACACAGCTACTCAGGAAAAGCTCAGAGCCAGAAGCAGGGGATTTTGATTTCTGATCTGGAGGTCTTCACCCCACCCCCCAGGCTCTCTCATCCTTTGTCCTCACCTGCCGGTTGCAGATGGACTATTCTGCTCTTATCCACAGCCACAGCTGTGGGCCCCAGAATGACTCAGAATGGCTTTGGACTATTATTTATGTATTTATTTATTTATTTTTAATAACTAAACCCACCTCAGGAGAAGGGCGCTGGGGATGTCCCATGGAACATGTCCATGCGTCTTGCCTGGAAGTGGCCAGGCTTGCGGTGGGGGCTGAGTGGCCAAGAGGACCACCACGTGCTGGTGTCAAGCTTTTGCATTTCTGCATGAACTGTACCCAGACAAGCGCCAGCTGTTTTCTGGTGGAAGAAGAGGTCTGAGACGAACAGATTCTTGTATTTGGGACTTTTGCTTTTTCAGAATCATTGCAAGAGTTGGTGGGTGTGCTCCGTTGGAGCCTATTCAACAGTTTGGAGTTCTCAGTCTAGGCGTGTGGAAAGACCTTCCAGAAGCGAGATTTATTCAATTCTGAAGAAGTAACTCAGAAGAGCTTTCGGAAAGTCCTTCCCTGCAGGACTTCCCTGGACTGAGGCTCTCCTAGCCTTGGTGGGCTTCGGTCTGATCCTGTTTGCAGGCAAAGGGGTGGATTAGGTGCCCCGAAGCCCCTCGCTGGCACCAGGATTCCAGCTGCCTTCGTGGCTACGTGGGGGTGCCTGTGCGCGCCCGCGACTGCGCGCCTGGGTGTTTGTGTGTGCTGGTCGGTGGGAGGCGCGTGAGTGTGGCCCCCGGTGGGTGTGTCTGAGGCGCCGGGCTGGGCTGCGCCCGCTGCGCCCACTTGTGGCTCCCAGGCGCCGCCAGGAGGAACCGCGCCTTTACAGCCTCTGCCGAGGACCCGCCCGATAGGAAGAGGACGGGAGGCGGATGACATGAGGGCGCCGTCTCCCGAGTGATGGCAGCGCGCGCTGCCTCGCCGCCTCCGCCGCTCAGCCCCGGACTCCTTACGTCAGGGTAGCTGGGTCCCCCCTCCGCGCGGGAGCCGGGGAGCAGCGAGAGAGCAGAGCAGAGCGCGCTGCGGAGCCGGGGCGCCCTCACTGCCCGCGGAGCCCCGCCGAGCCCCGCCAAGCCGAGCCGGGCGGAGGCAGCGCCGCGGAGCCCGCGCCGGACACCGCAAGCGGACCCAGCACTCTCCGGCCGCCGCCGGACCCGTGGGGCGCCGGGCTCGTCCTGTGCGCCCCCCGCCATGCGCGCGGGCCTCCGCGGCTTTCCAGAGCAGCCCCAGCGCGGTGGGCACAGGCGCCCGGGCCCCAGCGCCTCTCGCTAAAGTAGTTGGGTGGCCAGGGCAGGGGGTCGCCACGTCGGGGGCGCGGCCGGGACCCGCGGAGTCGGCCCCCGAGCGCGGGGAGCGGGGCCGCCCGCGCCGCCCCACCATTACCTCCCCGGGCGGCAAGGAAGAGCTGGTGGCGGTCGCCTCCCGGCTGTGGCAGCGGCGGCGGCGTGCCTGTCTGGCCGCCGTCGGCGTACTCCTGGCCATGGCACTCGGGCTGCTCATCGCCGTGCCGCTGCTGCTGCAGGCGGCGCCCCCCGGTGCGGCGCACTACGAGATGATGGGCACCTGCCGCATGATCTGCGACCCATACAGCGCCGCACCTGGAGGGGGGCCCGCAGGAGCTAAAGCTCCGCCGCCCGGACCCAGCACCGCTGCCCTGGAAGTCATGCAGGACCTCAGTGCCAACCCTCCGCCTCCCTTCATCCAGGGACCCAAGGGCGATCCGGGGAGACCGGGCAAGCCAGGGCCGCGGGGTCCCCCTGGAGAGCCGGGCCCGCCTGGACCCCGGGGCCCTCCGGGAGAGAAGGGCGACACAGGGCGGCCCGGGTTGCCAGGGCTGCAGCTTAGTGCTGGCGCAGCCGGCGGCGTCGGGGTGGTGGGCGGCGGAGCTGGGGGCGGCGGCGACTCCGAGGGCGAAGTGACCAGTGCATTGAGCGCCGCCTTCAGCGGCCCCAAGATCGCCTTCTACGTCGGTCTCAAGAGCCCCCACGAAGGCTACGAGGTGCTCAAGTTCGACGACGTGGTCACCAATCTCGGCAATCACTACGACCCCACCACTGGCAAGTTCAGCTGCCAGGTGCGCGGCATCTACTTCTTCACCTACCACATCCTCATGCGTGGCGGCGACGGCACCAGCATGTGGGCGGATCTCTGCAAGAACGGGCAGGTCAGTGACTCCCTACTCCAGCGGTCCCCGCAAACCCTCTCCCGTCCCCAACCGCCCGGGAACTAGCTTCCTTTCTCTCCACCCGCGGGCGACCAAGCAAGCCCTGGGAGGAGCGCACTGCTGTGCCCCTGCACCGCGGTTCCCAACGCGCCCGGCCTCCAGAGCTTGGGCCGCAAGCGCCCAGAGACCGCCCCCCTCACGGCCCGCACCCAGTCCCTGCCTGCAGACCCATGGGCTCCTCGGAAACCTCAGTTTCTTTAGCTCCCGACGGTCGCCCCTTTGCCTTCCTATCCTTACTCTTGGCGCTGGGTCCTCTTTTCCCCTGGGTCAGTGTCCAGGAAGTCCCCTCTCTCCCTCCCTCCCTTCCAGACTCGTCTGCGCAGGGAGGAGGGGGCCTGGCAGGAGTTGGCCAAGTTGGGGAGGAAGCATGGAGCTGGGGGTGGGAGTGTCGACCTGAAGCCGCAGGCAAAAGGCCTGCCTGGGGTGCGCTAAGTGGGGGCCAGACCGGGGTCCCGCCGAGGTGCCCAGGCTCATCCGCTCCTCCTGCGGCTCATCCCCAGGTCCGGGCCAGCGCCATCGCGCAGGACGCCGACCAGAACTACGACTATGCCAGTAACAGCGTGGTGCTGCACCTAGATTCGGGGGACGAAGTGTACGTGAAACTGGACGGTGGCAAGGCGCATGGAGGCAATAACAACAAGTACAGCACGTTCTCGGGCTTTCTTCTGTACCCGGATTAGGGGCGCAGGGGACATGCGAGGTGAGGTGGCGTCAGGCCTCCATGTCCCTGCGAGAGTGCACGCCTCCTTGGCCACTGCCACTCTCAATTCATGACACTTCCTGACATCCTGTTGGAAAAGACACATCCCTGCTGTCCTCCCTGCCCTGCTCCCAGTCTCAGTGTGTCTGCAACTCACCACGCTCGGAGCTGTACTCCTGGTCTCTGTCCCCGATCCAGCGAGGGAGAAGGGGATGCCAAGCCCTCGGGTGCAGACTTTGCAAGTCTGATTGGACTGGACAGGCCTGCCCTCTTCTAGTTCTACTTCTCCTCCCAGTGTCCCAGCCCTGGCCAGGGAGGCAGGCCAAAGGGAACACAGGCTCCCTGGGGCTTCCTTCTTTGCGACCTGAAACACTTGTGCACATTTCCCTGTCCATCAGCCAAAATCCCACCCACAGCAGAATTCCAGCAAACAGAAAATTCCTATCTCCACACCACACTCCCTTCCGGCTCAGACCCACTGCAATGCATTAAATTATGTTTTTAGACTATGGGCTCCCTTGTCTCTGTCAGCACGGCCCCTGGGCCAGGGCTCCAGATGTCCCTCTTGGCATAAAGACCCTCTCTGGGCCCAGGATTGTCCATCTGTGCCCCACTTGCCAGCCACAGCCATGTCCCTGCCCCCTGGGGTGGGTGAAAAGACGTGGGGAGATGGGGGACAGCATCACCGCCTTCCCCCAAGTCCTCCCCTGCCCCGCAGCC